GGAGCTGTACGGACAGGGCCTTGTTCTTCCACAGATCGCCACGCTCGATCCTCGCGGCAGCCATTTACAAACACGCGCGCACAATTACAGAGAGATTGAATCAGACGAGAGCACAAGATCAAACAGGGACTGAGAGAGAAACGGAGGTTCGAAGAGAGAGAGAGAGAGAGTAGCCAAGCCTAAGCGCGAGTATAGAAAGCGAGAGAGAGAGGAAGTGGTATGCGGCAAAGCTTTTTTTGTGTTGTGCCGGGGTGCACGATGTACCCTGGTGCGTAGTTCGCACCTAAAAACTACTCGTTTTGTTCGGATTATTGCCCCAAAAATCTCCCCAAGTCTATGAAAGCTTTTTTTATTTTATTTTTAATATTAAATAACTCTTGACTTGGGTAAATATTTATCTTCAAAAAAGTAATAATTTAATTTCAGTTATTTGTCTAAATAATTGATAATCATCATGGTTAAGAGCAGATTTCCATGCACCATAGGTGTTGTGTTATCGCTTGTATAAAGAAAAAATAATCTCAATATCGCTTGTATAAAGAAAGCGTAATCCCAATTAAGGCTTGTTTAAAGAAAAAATAATCATCGTAAACCCAATTAAGGCTTGTTTAAAGAAAAAATAATCATGACCTTCCCCCACTTTATTCTACTATTGGACGATTGTGATCTTCTCCAAAGAAGAGAAGTTGTGGAATAAGCATGAAAAATGACACAGATGTGATCAGTTCTTATAATCTGAAAATCAAAGTTGAAACAGAACGGAGAGCCGATATCAAAACAATATAGTATGCTCATTATCAAAATGCCAAGACCAGATATTAGCATAGAAACCAAACTCAGTTGTCTTTACAGCTTTTTATCTCTCATTAAGAATATTCTGAAAGAGCAAAGAGGCAGAGAGAGTAGAGGGGAAATTTGTAATGCCATCACATTAACAACTCCATCTCTCTAGGCTTCATTTGTCAAACTCCCATATGACTCCTCCATCATCTGCAGCACCAAAGCATGATATATTAGCACATAAACTCTATTTCAAAATACAACTAGTAAAAACCAAGAGATGAAACTTCAAACAATCAGAAAAGTATAGGCTAAGCATTACAACAAAGTAGAACCATAAAACATCAGCAATCTGATCATAGATTTCTTATTTTAACATCTCCTTTCGTAATTCCTAATGTTCTGAATGTGCATTTTAAACCATAAACCCCTAAACCCACCATGGACAAGGATCAGATATGCAGTGCATCTAACCAAAAGCATTAAACTTGCAAAGCTGGAAACTTTCAGGATTATAGGGCATACGTACCTTTAACTTTCTTGTTTATCCAGACCTCCAGCAGCATCCCAGCGCCAATGCCACCAGCAATACATGCTCCAAAGAATGCAATGTTATAGGGTAGGGATCTTCGAGGAAGAAAATAGCAATCTGGGATCTGCCTAATCTTTCTAGGAAGCCGCTTCTTTATGCCCGGCTTAACACTGGGGTCCTTCTGCATGTCACTACCAACAGCTTTCCAATCCACCCCTTTGAACGGGTCTTTTGGCTCTTCCATGGCCATTACTGCAAACTAGTTCGCTTTAGAGATTGCCCAACAAATTATAGTTCATACAACACTAACACAAATTGTCTAAGAGGCAATTTTACAAACACCATATCTGCAAACGACAAGATCAACAATACTGCGCCTTACCATGAAGAAGAAGAAGCAAATGTCACTCAACTATTCTAAAGCACGGGTTTAAGTTTGGTTGCAGAGAAAAATAAGGGAGAGAGAAGAGAAGAGGAGAGAAAGTAAACTTATTACCTTGAAAGTTGAAGTCTTGGCAACGGAACGATGAACAGAGTTTGAGATGAAGATGATTGAAGATTGTTTGAGGTGTTTGGTGGCTGGCTACTGTAAAACCCTCCCTCACACCCCCCCTTGTGGCAGGCAGGCAAGCAAGCAGGCAGCTAACCAAAGGACCGGAAATTACAAAAAGGTCGAGAAAATGGTGCGGGCACAAGAAAGAAATCCCAATTAACCTCCGGGTGTTTGCTTTCTACTCTTTTATTTATGATGGGAGATTTAGGCGGGGGTGTCCGTGCGTAACCACAACCCGACCGACCCAAAGTACAAATATTCGGCTTGCTTCTTGACAAATAAGGGCTCGTTTAAAAGTGATTTTGTCACTTATGAGATGTGCTTCTCCATATAATCACTTCAAGTGATTCTGGAGAGAGACGTCTTCCGTGTACTTCCCCATAAAATCACTTAAAGTGATTATATAGAGAAGTGATTCTTCACAGAAGTACTTTTTAAACTATTCAGAATCACTCTCGAACGAGCCCTAAAAGTGGTCAAGGGGCTACACTAATTATCTGCAAATATTCTAGGTTTGGGCTTTAGAGTTTGCTCTATAATAATTCCAGTTTTTAATAGAGGGAAATGTCATTTTGTGGCCTAGTTCAATAGGGAAATCAAGTTCATTATGAGAGATTGAACACTCTTGCATGGTTCCTCTTTTTAGATTTTTTCTTTTAACTCTAATTTATCATTCTGTTTCAACCAATTATCTAAGATTTCTTATTAACAAGCTAGTAACCAAGACATTCTTTACAAATCACATCCCCATTAAATTATGGGGAAGAAATGATGATTTAGGAACAATGAATTGGTGAGTTCATCTGCAGCGCTCCACACTTAGGAACAGAAGTAAAAGGGAAACAGCACAACCACATTTGCACCGACACTGGCAAATTCAGCTTGCATGCCTAGCGAAATCTGCAGCAAGAACAAACCAACGCACTCCCGTGTACTCTCGGATCTTACTTTCCACAATCAAACCAAGGGAATCATCCTGCCAGCCTACTTGGGACTTTGAATTTGGCTCGTATCGCATTTGGGGTTGATCCACGATAAATAACTGCAAATGTGCCCCGAAAAGAAATTAAAAGTCATCTCATTTCATCTATCAGAATGAAAAGAGAACACAACCAAGGAAGACTTGTAGTACTATTTACAGAACAAAACAAAGGTAGATTCCTTACATGGTTACTTGGCACTGTCGCATAATAGACTAGGCGATGAAGGGAAAGCATATGGTACAAACCTTGAAAAGAGCATCAGCATATAAAAAGTTGGAACTTCAACTTTGCATTCCCAACATCCAAATAGTTGACATCAACTGCAACTTCCCCAAGATCGTCTGACCAGAACCAATGAAAAATTGTATTTCTTAATCTTCTGGAACTTATGTTAGGAAACGGAAAATGGCATATCACCCATGTAGGAGTGAAAATGATAATGGAAGTTCAAACCTTCATATATTGTCCCCGCAAAATTTACATATTCAGGTATGAGATCTCTATATATGATGCCTTCTGGATGGGCATCCAGCGCTACAAGGACACCTGAAAATCAACAAGCCGTATTACATAACTTTTATTACAAAAGAAATAGCCTATGGTTCATTTTTTACTAATCACCACCAGTATATCTCAGTGCATTGGTTAGGGAAGGGTACCTGGTGCTACCCAAGCTTTAGTTGAATTGCTTGGCAATGGAGCCAGCCAGAGGATATTTCGCAAGTTCATTGAATTATCATATCTCACATTAGACCCTAAGAGATGTAATATAAGAACAACAGGTGTAACAAAAACATTTCACCACAAGAAATTACCATGTTATCTAACCAATTGTAATTGCTCGACATCAGGAACCAAAAAAATTGAGGAACTACTTAATAAAGCTAAAAAGAGGATTTCATTTAAAGTTCTTTCTTCATTATTTTTTCTATTTTCAGATAAGTCACTCTGGAAGACAGAACAGCTAGTATTAGGGTACCAAAACAGATTTTGAGAATTGCAAAAATAAAGATGTAATCAAGGCATCTTTACCTACTTGACAGTAGCCCATATTATATGGAAATACTTCTTTATCATATGCAGGGTATTCTTTGGCATGGAATCTGTCAAACATAAAAAGATACGTTCTTGAAATAACCAACAATAGGTAAAACATTGTCCGTTCTACAACTTAGGTCTAAAATTTTCTCAGCCTTTTATGGTACCAACAATACAAGAAAGGTTGCAGTAAGAAAGATACCAACTTACAATATACCAAGTCTTCCAGTGTCTATAGCAAGAAAAAGGTGGCCATGGAATAAATCATAGCGACTCAACGACACATTCAACCCAACAGCGGGACCCCGAGATAGAATAAGTTCAAATAAAAATTCAATATATGAATTCAACTCCTGCAGTGCAACAGAAGAGCACTATATGAATTCAAAAGGAGAATTAATTTCTTGAGTAGAGGATAACTCGAAAATTTGAAGTTTCATTCCTTTGATGTAAACCTACCTCACTTATGAAGCGTCTCCCATATGGAGTTCTAGTAAGCTCACATCGGTTCGCTTTTGATCCTTCAACATCAGGTACCTAATGCATTACTAAATTAAATATCCTCCAGTTACACTGGTGTACAGATAGACTAGTAAAACAACCCAGACAATACATTTAATTTATCATAAATCTTAGTTATAGTTGTGAGATGACACCGTCAATGTGTATATGGAACACCCACATAAGTATAATCATAATATGCCAGAAGTTAGAGCCACTTTCTGGAACAGGGTGATGTAAATATGTGGATGAATTGCAATCTCCCAATTAAGTGTCATCAAAATGGGGAAAAACCTACACAATGAAGACCAATTTCGGAAAAGTATCCACGAATTTTCCAGAAAAAGAACTGTTAAGCACCCGACAACAATTTATCAGAATGCTGCCAAACCAAAGTTACAATTTTACGCCAAATCTAAGCACAAAAGGCAAACATAGACATGAGACATCGGCAATTGCTAAAGGAAAAGAGGAAAAAGAGACTGACAGTGATCATCGTGGGATCCAAAGCACGTTGAATAGCAGCTGGGTCTCCACCAGAGTCAACAGCGAGGCGAGCAAGCTCCAAAACCGGCTGAGGAGGCCACCAAACAAGCTCATCCTCCTCCTCCCGTTGACATAAATCACCCTTTTGCTTCAAGTTTAAGACTTTTCTATTGGGATACTTTTGTGGGCACAATTTGTTGACATTTGGCGTAAAGGGTACGAGGAATTTGAAGCAAGAAGTGAGCTCTTGGGCTACAAGGGGGTTAATGGTTGAAGACTGGGATTTGGAGCCCAGCAAAGAGAGCAGGTCTGAAGGGGTGGCTTTGGGAGATGTTGATGGTGAAGATGGTTTGAGAAAGATTGGGGAACATGAAGAAGAGGATGAGATGGAGTAGGAGGAGGCTGTGAGAGACAGGGAGACGAAGATTGTCAATCCGAGTGAGAAAGAGGGCTTCCCCATTTGCGCTCTTCCCTCTCCTCTTTCATTTCGAGTCTTGAGAGTGGTTCTGAGCTACAACTAGAAAGTTTAATTATCTTCGACCAAAAACAAGAAAGTTTAATTCTCGACTCAAATGAAAAATAATTTTATCTGAGGTATACTCGTTGGGCTCACTACCAATTTTCGTACATTTTTCAATGGATAATTGTGGTTAAATGATATCATATTGAAGTAATTTTTTGTAAAAATAATTATTAAATAAATAAAATAGATATTTGAATTAATTAAATACAATTCCGAATGCATGGGTGTCTCTCATTATTTGATGAAGAAGACAGGAATCGGGAAGAAGGTTGAATTCTTTTTTTTATTTTATGGCTGGATTGCATAACCAAACATCAATGGGACAAGCATGCGTATATAGGCAAAAGATCCCATCACAATGAAATGAAATGTGAGCACAAAAAATAAGGAGAAGCTCAGCAGCATATTAACCTCAACCTTAACCTCGTCATTCATATATCAGTAATATCATTGCAAATTTTACGTGATGATGAAAATATAGTTTCCTCCTCCTCGTCCTTAAAACATCGTTGGCGTCCTTGCGGCGGCAGGCAGTATGCCTGACAAAGATGCTTCTGGTGGAATTGGTTAGGTGCAGACCACGAAGCTAGGGCTAAGCATATTGTTTGAGCAAATTTCCCTGTCTCCATTCTTTTCAGTCATATCTGCATTTCTCTGAGATAATATACTGACTTAGGCCTTGGCTACCCCAAAAAATACGCCCCCAAAAATTTGGTCGCCATGGCCATCTTCACCAATAAATTTTTTCAAAGAACATGCATCAGCTACATAGGTAAGCGACCCATTAAATAGTCTTTGCAAACCATGCATGTTGAATTCGAAATATTATTAAGAAAGGATTGGTTACCCTCAAGCATGAACATCATCCGTAAACCCAAAAACTTGACCAAAATATTACATTCGATAAATCTACAGCACTTCAATTAAGACATAAAAAGAGTCTGACCCCTCGTAACCTTCGAACGTCCATATTTGTGCACCCTCCAGATTGTTCCAGCGCCAATTCTATTTGGCATCAGTATTCAATCTCTTCCATCCAAATCTTCCTCATAAACAGGCCACTTCAGATTCCTGCAATTATATTCTCCCCATAAGATTATTTAACGCTCTTTACATTCATTCATGCTTCAACCAATAACCAAAGAATCCCAACAAGTGACCAAGTAAGAATTCCTACACGCCAAGAGAAGCATTCCAATCAGAAACCTAGTTCTTGAAAGGATCTTGCAAGCAAAAACACTATTAACATACACGAACCAAAATAAAACTAAATAGCCACACTATCTTGCAACGTTCTAGTATAACCATGCATTGCTGGTATTTTTTAGGCCCAATCTTGAGCCATCAACCATTACAGAAACAATTTGAAGTACCAGAACAACAGCCCATTTGTCGGTCATGCCATTTTATTCAAGTTGCAAATACCCCCAGATCACACTAACACAAATACGCTGACGGAGTGAAATATCAAATCAAGCCAAGGTGTGAAAGTCTAGCTCAAGGCTAGGAAGACAATAGACAAATTTCTGTCCTTTGCATGACCACTATATAGAATATAGATTTGCAGCATCATTTGATGAATTTTCAAGCAATTATTATTATAGTTGCATTCTTCCCCATGAAAACTGAATTGACTAGCTTGCCCCATCGCTAAGTTCGCTGAGTCCTTCAGAGAGCCCAATCAAAATGATAATTTTCACATTTGAAAAAACCCCATGAAGCACCATTGTTGCATAATGAAGAAAAGGTTAACTTACCTATAATGACAACATTGCACCCACTAGAGACTAAGTTCATCTACAACTTTGACACC